CTTGTAGATTTAATTAGATTTTGAGAGATTTCTTGTATTTTAGATATCAATAACAAGTCTTCTTCAATGTCTGCGAAGTCACTCGGGAGTGATGTCAATTACAGCACCATTGCTGATGAGGTAGGTTTAACTGGATAGCTTAATTTTGCCTATTTTGCTCATTCTGCTACCGTTCTGTGCAAAGATGTGTAATTCTTGTTCCTAGGTTAACGACAAGGAAGAAAATCATTATGAAGAAATTGACCAGCCATCGACTAGCACTGGGATTCGTGAAGTCGAAAATCCGTACAGTACCATAGGACCAAAGAGAAGGAAACCAAAAATAACTGTAGGTCTTTTTCTTTTCCTAGACGAAAAGTCGGCCGTTTAAGCTAACGAACTCATCTTTTTCAGAAAATCACGGACGATGCCGTTCCATCGACATCGGGATGGTATCCAGTGGTGGTTTCACTTGGTGAAGCTGATCAGCCAAAAGCAGCGTCCATCAGTAAAGCGCCTGACGAGCGAGGTACTGATTTTTGCAAGGAGGCCGGTTTGGGAAGCGTGTAGTCGCAGTGCTAATTATTGACGGTGAAAGTTTCGTCACAAGGAAGGGCGCTGGGAACTTGTAATGCAGCGTGCTCTCCGCCGTTGCCGCGTGGTCCCCTCACTTCACGATCTGGTGCAGTGAGTTTGCAGCGCAACTTTCGTTAGCTGCATTCAACAATGGTACCTCCGTAGAATTCTCTGAGGTGCAGTTGGCCTTGGCGGTAGGCCTTTCACTATTTTGCACTGTCGCTGCTTCGCTATGAAATGGGGCTCGTGGAGTCCAGCCATTAGCGGGTCCCAGTCAAAGTTTGTAGAGGCAGTGAACTTGTCAATGAGAAGTTGCGGAAGCAGAGACCACGTTGTAGGAGATTTTAGCAAAATGACTTCCCCTACAGTTTGTCCTTCATTACGACTCCTTACCTTCTTACCTGCCATCCTAGCATCTTACCAAAAACTTGCCGTCGAGCAGGTGATTGCCCGCGCTGGTGGGCGTGGCGAGCGTTGCCGTCCCCCCCCTCCCCGCCGTCCGGATGCGTTGTCTCGAAAAGAACGGGGAAATTCGATACACTCCATGGAGCCTTGTCCCCGCTTCACTTGTAAGAGTTTCGTTGCTCACGTTGACAAATTAACACACATTAAACTTGCCGCACGATAAGCCGCGCACGATGACGCAACGAATTGCGATTGTCTTGTCCGTCCCTTGGAGTAGGCGCCTTCCAATTATGAGAAACGGTTTGCGACGGCAAGGTACGACCCGCGTCGTGTTTTGCGCAGAGGGTGGTGTGCTTTGATGGAGATGCAAAGTAGGCAGCTATTATGATCTGTTGAAATGAAAGCAGCAGTTCGGCAGAACTCGTCCACGTGGGCAGGTTCCTCCAGTGCTAGCAAACGGAATGCTCTTAACATTGAGCGTTTTCGACGGGTTTTTCTGCTGTTTTTTTTTCGCGGACACCTTTCTGCACCTCCTCTTCATAGTAGAACGCCTCCTCTTTCCATCATACACCGTGTCGGGAGAGAGTGCATATCTCGGCACCTCCAATTATAACAGCAGTAGTAGTGGTTCACAGATTAGCGCGTGCTTGTGTTCAAATCCTAGACGGGCTATCCTAAGGACAGATTTCTCCTATGATGCGGCACATCCAATTAATAAATGTACATGCTCATATTTCAGCAAGTGGAGCAGATATAAAAGTGGAAATCACCAAATTCCTGGAGGAACTGATCGAAAAACATCCGGAGACTCTGGATGTAATCGAGAATGTACGTCAGAGCCGTCTTGGTCGAAGCTCGGTTCCACATAGAGTTCCGCAGATGTTCAGACTGCATGGGTTCGTTCTTCGTCTTTTGGGTGCTACCTGTGTTTGTTGGGTATACTTATTATCTCTCTCAATGTTCCCTCCTCAGCAGGGCGCCATCAAGACGTCGATCGTCTTCGTCTTCTGTGGCTGGCTTGTCAGATATGGCCCTACGCGATGGAACCCATGTTGCGGCTGGACATGAGGACACTTCACAAGGCGCTGTTCACTCTTTCCAAGACAATGACGGAATGTGGTGGACGTACGCTTTTCGATGAGCATGGTAAGTTGTTTAATGACAGATCGCTTGCCTTTGCTAAATAATTCTGAGAGCTTCTGGTTATTTTGAGTAGTTGGGGTAATTAGAGTTTTATTTTAGGGGTGGGTACGGCTCAACCCCTGGGATCTGGACGAGCACTAATGGAATTACTTCAAAGCACCCAGGATGCTCCAACCGGAAGAAGCCGACTCGATGTAAGTATCTGTTCAGAACAGCATCAAAGATTCTGTTGGAGACTGCTGTTCTTTCTCCCACGTGCGGCGTTCAAATTCTTTTGAGGCAGCCTCGTGACCCAAGTATGTCATCTAAGAATTTGGGGTGTTGCTCCTCCTTCTTGTGACCAGGGCTGCGTGGCTAGCCCGATCTGGTAACGAGCCACGTTGAGTGCACCGCAGTTATTAGGGTGATACCGAGTCCCAATTTAAATGTATGACTAACCTATGAATATCGCGTGGGCCATGAAGGCTCAAGGCAGCTTCAGACTTCGTGATGGCAGCGCTTCGATCGAGCGTTCGACGCGATCGATCGCGCATACTTTCGACAGCGTCAACCAAAGCGCTGCCGCTGGGAAGTCTGAACGTTCCGTAACCTATGGAGACACTTGCTCCACTCCTGATAATCAACATGAAATGGCTAGCTAGTTGGTCTCGACATATTGGAGCGATTCCCATAGAATGTCTTAGTCAGCGTCCAGATTTCGCGATGACGCGCGTGGACACGCTGCCACTACAAGAGCGTTCCAGTGCTAGAGACGTGAACGCAGCCGCAGACGAGATTCGGTCGGCGCATCGCGGCGTTTTGAGAGGGTAAAGGGTAACATGAGCGCACGCGCCATATCCACACAATCTGGTACCCTTGTATTCCATTATATTCCAAAGCACTAGCGTCCGTACTAATCGATGTCCCTTCTGGGACTATGTTCGCGTTTATAACATTGGAGCGCCGTTTCAAATGTAGCGTGTTGGCGAGCGTCACGCGATGTTTTAACGCTGCTTCAAATCCTGGTGTGATCACTACACACGCGGCACAATTTACAAAGCCGCGTTGTTAGGTCCTTTCAACCGAAGTCCTAAGAAGAGAATGCTATGTTCCAGCGTAACATTTCTATGTCAGGTTCTACCCGAATCAGCGTATGCAAGCAGTGATGAGGATGGTGAACCGTGCTCGTCGCGAAACGCTGCGACTCTGCCAGGACTGAGCGTAGGAAGTACAAGGTGAGCGGGAATTGAGCTGCTTATGTTTAGGCATCAAGAAATGGATGTTAGCATGTAGTATCGGCGCTGTTCGATTTGGTGGGGGCACCAAATGGTACTCAGCTAATCCTTTACAGGCTACCTTGTCAAGACCTGTAGATTCTTGTAAACGGTCGCTGACATGTTCTGTTTCGCTGCTTCACTAAAATTTATAGTCTCACCAGTACCCTGTTAGTTAACGTGACTTAGCGAAAGGAACTAACTAAAGTGGCAAAGTGCCTCTCCCAAGCCGAACAGCGCCGGATTTTTTTTAATGATCAGTATGTTCTTATATTTGAGGAGAGAACGAGCCCTGTCCTCATCTAGCAACGAAAGCTATACATACATTCCGCAGCTGCCAACTACCGTATTTCACGCACCTACAGGGACTGGAGCAAGCCGTGCGAGGTGACTTACCAACCGCCGCTATTAATAACTTCGTGCTCTTCCAGTGAAGAATTAGTTCTCATTTCAGTACACGCCGCCAAATGGTATCGTTCGCCAATGTTGCTTCTCGTCTAAGAGCAGCTGTTCGTCAGAGCGATGGCCTAGCCATTGGGACAGATGGGCTGGAATCGTCGGCTTCTCAACTCACGCGCAGCATACTTGACCGCCGGGATCTCAGACCAAGAGAGGATAGTGGGCCGCCATTCCAGGTAGAGGGGGATTTTTTGGTTCTCAAAAGCAAACAGGGTGAGGTGGTTAGTGTCAGCCCTATGTCTGCGATGTCGTGCTGACTGTAGTTTCATATGATGCTTACCCACATTCACCGTATCGTGGGAGATTTTTTGGGGAAGTGGGTCGCTTTGGTCAGAACGGCCCGTGTGAAATCACTTGTCTGGTAGTAATTCCTTTTTAGGTCCCTTCGTAAGTCCTTTCAAAGTAAAGGCAGTTGCAGTGATCTCGACGGAAGGTTTTCCCAGAAGCAGTTTTGGTTTGGACCTTTTTCCGGGGTAGCGTGTCCGGAGAGTGTTAATTTCATTGACCCTTTTGGTACGAAATCGCCGCGTGCCCGCGCCACACTAGCTGCCGTTAAAACATTTCTTGAGTTAATTCGCTTAAATATTGTCCCAAGGGGTAGTTTGATCCGTGTAGCGTATCTGCTTAATTCTAGCGCCGATGGCGGAAGCCTCTGGATGCCGCGCCTAGTGGGTCGTCGCTAAAACTCGCTGGTGGTGTTAAGATCAGGCACTTTCGCTCAGACCGGGTGTAATATTTCTGCGTAAAAGCTAGCTAGCCTACCTCTAGAAAGCGAACAATCGAGTAAAATCTGGTCCGGATTCCGAAAAGCGGGGTAGTAAGGGGTGAATGGAGCGAAACATTTACATTTAATCATGGGAACTCGATGCCGAAGTAAGTTACCATGTAGATTCAGGAGAACTTCCTAGCTCGTCTGGACTCGGGCTCATCAGCTGGAGGCGGAATGTCGTCACGGTTCCGCTTCCTGTCCGAATTAGGATTGGCTGTTCTGCCCACTGCTGGGACGAATCCAAGTTAGTTTGCCTTTTTTTGTGGCGAGTTTTCTGAATTTGTGAGCTTTCTCTATTTGCAGTCCCACTTGATTACAATTCTCCTCCTGCCCGTCGAACATCGTCAGTGAAAAAGAGTTACTACTACAAAATGAAAGTTTTTCCGAAGACGAACAAGAGTTTCAAATTAAAGGTTGGTTGCACTTTCTGCAAGCTTTCGCTCTTTGGGGCTCTCACTCCCAAACGCTCCTTTGAGAAGGGAGACGTTTTACTTTTCCCAAACAAATTGGCTGAACCTATGTTGAGTAATTTCAGCTCGATCGCCTTTCTGTGTCGGCTCTGTTCGATCGGAATCGTTCTGCTCTTTCTTGTGCCTTTGATGTACTGCTAGCTTGCTTGGTGTCATTCCTCGCAGGCCTCGTCCTGGCAACTGGAATTTACTTCGACATTTGGCTATTCTTGCTCGCTTTCACAGTAGCTGGCGCTCATGTGGGTTCTTGTGTCATTTCTGTTATTAACTGATGAAAATGAAGCTCATAGCATGAAAACATTGAAAATGTTCAGTTTTCGCTGCTGAAAAGTGTACAACCCGATGCATCGTCGCCAATTCATGGTTTCAACTGGCTGGTATCCTACAGTCGTCCGGTATACTTTTGTATAGGTGCCGCGATAGTGCTCACTCTGCATCATTTCGCTGACGATCCAGGCTATGATAAAATTCCATGGAATTGGAATCCGTACAGGTCTGTTTATACATCTTTCTTTTTTTTTAGCGGACGGTCCTTGTGTGTGCGAAGCGATGCCAAGAACAGGACTTCGGGATTAGGGTAGTAGTAAGCCGAGTGCGTCTTCACACTCGGCCTTACCCTCCGTCGTCTGCTTAAAGACACTTGACTCGCGCGATCAAGTGTCCTCAAAATAATTAGTGCTTTTGGAACCTTCTACGCCTTGACGAAAGATGATCATTTTCATCCCAATATGGCGCGATAGGAGTTATAGGTTTCGCAACAAGCTGCTAGCTCGTGACACGTAGTGGAGAGCGTCCGTCCAGAGTGCTTCCGTCCCTTTAAGTATACTATTTCGAAAGTCGATCTGCTTTCGTGACTGAGACCAGTTTACCCGATACGTTGATCGCGGGAATTTGTCCTAGTCGTCTTGGGGGATTTATCGTGCCAACTGCCTTTAAGGTGCAGCACATGCGTTGATACTATGGTCTCAGCACGAAACAGGCACTCAGCAGTAGGTAACAACCAGAAATGAATAGTCACAGATAGGCACGCGTTTCGTTTTGTGGCTGGCCGTGCGGCAGCGCGGACGGATAATGAGGAGCACCCGAGTATCACCACCCTACACCCCGTTCCCGTGCATTTTTGAGCGGAAAGATGGCTTCGCTAGTGCAGCTGCGGACCTATTCTTCCTACAGGCAATAACCAGGGTCCGCAGATGAGTGTGCATGTTTAATTCTTAGGCTTGAGAAATGAGGTTCTGCAGAAATTTCCTTTGAATAGCATGGTATTGTTAAGACTGTACGAAACATCGGGTGAAATGATACTGCTTGCATTCCGAGACCTCTTCGCTACGTTCCTCGTAATGCTCCCCTTTGCTTTCACTATGGGATGGTTACCACAGGTTTGTGAAAGTTTGTAGTGGAGATGGCGGTTAGTCTTTTTCCATGCTTTTCTTTTAGGTCAACACATTGGCTCATCATATTCTTGAACAGCTGGAAATGCACATTCTTCGGTGGTACAGCATCGTTAGGAGTGCTATCAGCCCTTATCCAAATCATAAAAAGTGTGTTTGGATGGGCTCTGCTGAGTGGATTGTGAGTTGAGAAGATTTTCTTATCCTGCACTTATTTTTTTTTGTGAAATCGGTGGATCCAGATGTCATTTGGCACACTCGGTTGATCCAACTACGACCCAGACACCGGCATTTTCCGCGTTTCTCGCTGTTGCTGTCGCAACTTCGTATTTGCTCAGCCGGTAAGTATTCTTTACCTTTAGGGGTATTCACTTGTTAGTAGACTCTTGTACGCTGGAGCGTGTCAGGGGGGGGGGGCACCGCTGGGTTTGGCGCAGTGTCAGCCAGTTTTCCACTATTTCTCGGGCCAGCTTCCAGAATTGGTGGAGAACGGGCTGGCGCTCCGCCAAGCCCAGCCTCCCTCTCAGACACGCCCTGATATCCGCAGAAAGTAGGAGGGTTCGCGATAGGCATACTGTGTTTGTTCTGAATATATTAGCTTCAAATCTCTGATTGTCAGGTTCTCGTCCAATCCACAGCTGTTTGTGATTCTTTGCCGCGCTACAGTAGCTCCCAATCAGCCCTCAAATGGTACAGGTAGTAGTAGTCGGCTCTGTTGTGCAGCGTCAGGAGAACAAAGCGAGGATGATAGAATTAAAGATACAGGTACCGAGAGTAATGATTGTGCGATCCAATTCGAAAAAAAATCGCCTTTTTAGATGAACTTGACGTCACTGACCCGTTACCAGCACGTCTTCGTGAAGCAATCGTCCTCCGAGCACGTCATGATGTTCTCTTTTCGGCATTTCTGTCCCTTCTTTGTGTTCGCCTTACATTCGACATCCCTGTTCACGGCGACGCAGCCTTACTTCACGGTAAGTGAGGCGCTGAAACATTCAGATTCTGAAATAGGCGCACTTCGGCGACGGGGGGGGGGGCATTGTGCACGTCCTGTTTTTCTGTGTTTGAGCTTGATCGAGAAGAGATTGCGTTGGGAAATATAGCCAGCAAGCCATGAAGTGATAGCCAGTCAATTTTTGTAAAACCAATGCACACGACAGTTGGGAAGCAGCGAAAGTGGAACCCCCTCCGCTGTCGTGCTGTGCCCTGAAGTGTTACTGTAACGGGCTGAATCCAGAGTAGTGTAATCCTCCCGAGCGAGCACGTCGTACGCTGGGCAATTACCGGAGGGGGGGGGGGTCGTACTTGATCGCTAGAGTGTTGGAGTGAGGTTGTCGTGTCGCCTGAGAACAGATCTTTCTTTCAACAATTATTCTCCTTGTTTAGAAAGTTGGGAAAACTTAGGAAGATGACAGGTAGCATGGGGATGGAGAAGTGGGGTCGCACTAAAGAGGGAATTCGGGAGGGGAATCGTGTGTTGCAAGAACTTTCCCCAGCAACAGGAAGTGCACTGGTTCCGAGTCCTTGTTACTGTCAGAGTTATGAATCAAAGGCACATCTCACTTGGACGGACAGTTGGAGGCACCCAACCATCCAGCTACCTAACTGGCACACAAGGCCTTCTGGTACGGTGGAGAGGATGTGCCTTCAATAAAGAAGGCGGAATGACGGGATGTCTCCTCCCACTAGGTTATCGCACACTGTGCCTTTAGGTCACAAATCGATCTCCTATCCTTCTGAGCGTTTTGTCTGCTTTTAGGCAGTTGTTATCCCTATCTGCATAGCTTTTGGTATAATGAATCACTATCTCTATGAGCAGCTCAGAACGCACACGCCTTGGAAATTGGTTGGTTCATTCACTCATTCAGGTTGAGAATTTAAGGTGAGGACGCAATATCCGGAAACAGTCATTCTTATGTTTTTCAGATTGCAAAACCCATTCTCCACTCGCACGAGTACACGCAGTTCGAGAGCCCTGATGAAGCTAAATTAATGAATTTCGAGATTATTCATGTATGGATGTTGGCGATAGAGAAGAACCTTGTATGTATTTTAGACATTTTTTGTGCTGATCAATAATTAAGTGTTTTGAGGGCCATTAATCAATTGGAGGGGCATTTTAAGGACTGATTGTGCGGCACTTAAATTACCAAGTGAAAATATTATCCAAGCCCCCCCCCCCCGGGAAGGCGTCTGTCAAAAAGGAGGAAGGAGCTGAGGGATGAGCGATGTTCAAATGGCACTTCTGTTTGGATGGCGTATTCCTGATTCTTTCCCGAATTCCTTTGAATGCTCCCTTAGAGTTATTAGTGGCGTAGTCTAAAGCCAAGGCGAAAATTCGCTGCTTAGAAAAGTCGTCAATTCGCGAAAGTCTTTGGAAGATTCGAAGAAGTTCTATTCGAAACTACTGCGATTCTGGTTGGGGTGGAGGGGGGGGGGGCTGTGCAGTAGCTCTGACCACTGGTACTGAGCAATTGAAGGGTTCTGCATGATGGACTCAGTGAATTATGCTCAGCTAAATTAGTACAGGCCACCGTGTGAAGACTTATAAACTCCTGATGAGAAAAAAGTGGCGCTCTCGCGTGGTTTCGCTGTTTCACATGAGTTTACGAGTCTTGCCAAAGTACAACCTATCAG